GAGTAATGGCTGTGAATGGAGCCCGTGGACACCGGGGCCACGTCCGCAGTGGGCTCGGGGCCCCCGCGGCACAGCCGGCACATTCGGAGGCAGCAGGCGCCAGGTGCCAGACCCACGGGCAGTGATCCGAGAGAGCCAGCCAGGAGCCCGCCCGCCCGCGTGCGGCCTCGTGTGTTTATTTCATTTTTAATCTCAAAAGAAAGACGAGTTAACATCATGGAAATGAAGATTATTTTTGAAGTGAAACAAGCCTCACCGTCCCTGAAGGAGAGAAAGGGCAGAGAGACGGGGCGGCAGGCAGCCCGGGGTGGAGGCCGAGGTCTCCGCTCGGCGAGGGGACTGGGTGCCCGGAGGGCCGTGCGTGGCGCCCTCGCTGTTTACAAACGCTGCGTCGCGGGCGGGTCCCCAGGGCGGGGCTGCGGCCTGACCCGGACGTCAGAGCAGAATGTGGTACTTTAGCGCCCGGGGGACCCTGTTGATCACAAGCCGCCCGTCGTAACTCAGGGACGCAAAGAGCCAGGGGTCGGCTGAGGACCAGTCCACGGCGTACACGCTGTCCTCGTGCTCCTCGTACGTGGCGATGACGCCGTCCTGCGGGGGCTCCTGGCTCCTGGGGGGACCAGAGACACGTGTGAGCGAGCCACGGCTCCAGCTGCTCATCTGCCCGACGGGAGGGAGGAGCACGGGGACCGCGGGAGCGCGTGGAGCCCACTCAGCCTGACAGCGCCTTATCCCTGCGGCCTGGACAGTAGGCGCTGGCGTGATCAGCGAGGGGCCCCAGGTTCGGGGGTAACAGGGAACCGTCCCCGGGGGATGGAAACGAGGCCGTCAAAATGAGGAGGAGACGCTGCTTGTGACGCTGAGCAGAGGGACCTGGGCCGGGCCAGCGCAGCTCGGTCCTGGCAGGGCGGGGCGGTGCCCGTTTGGGGTCTCCTCCCTTTACGCTCTCCTTCCCGGGAAGCCTGCCCGGATGGCACAGGGTGCCATGAGTGTGAGCCCCCGTCCCGGGGCTGACTACCCCGGCCACAGCAGGGCTCCCAGCACGTGCCGGAGGCCGCAGCCTGGCCCAGCCCAGCGGTGCCGGTCGGAAAGGCAGCTCCTACTTGTCCTCTGGGCGGCGCTCCTCCTGGTCGCTGAGGTCGTCGTCGTCCACCAGGTGGCCAAAGGGCTCGGAGGAGATGGACACCATGTTGGAGAGGATGACCCGGCTGTCGCTGCTGCCCGTGAGGACCAGCTGGTCGTGCGAGTGGTTATAGCGGACGTTCCACACCCTGGGGGCAGGGAGACGGCGCTCACAGGGCTGGGACCCCTGGACAGGGAGCAGGGGTCGCCCGGCACCCACCCCAAGCTGCCCGGGCTGACGCTGGGCAGCATCCCCCAGTGGGCAGGCTTAGCGTGTTTCTCTGAAACCTCCTCGTCTCGACTCCCAGCAGCAGAGACGGGGCAGTGGCGGCACAAGCCTCCGTCGGGGGAGGCTGGCTGCCGGAGCTGCAGACAGAAGCCGCGCCCGGGCGCCCCGAGCAGCAGCCTAGAGGGTGAGCGCAGGGCCTGGGCACACACCAAGGGAGCACAGAGGGCTGAGCGCCCGCTGGCCGAGTGGCAGTGGAGAGGGCCCGCCCGCCCGCATGCCCGCCGCAGGGCCGGCGCTCCTGCCCGCACAGCGGTGATTACCGAACCTGTTAAAACTGTGCAGGGATCTGGGCTTTTAAGTTTCTGGCTGCAGGACAACAGCTTCTGGTAAGTAATTCCAAGAACTCGGGGAGACCCCAGCGAGCCCCCTCGGCGACACGGGCCAGCCTGGGTAAGGCCCCCGACAGCACTGGGCTCTCACTATTCCATACAATCCCACTGTGCACACATGTGCGTGCATGCACACACGTGCACAAGCGTGCACACACATGCTTTAATAAAAACCGCTCCTCCTATGCACTGTGCTACAGCTGATTCCACCTACTCGGCCGAAGCATCATGGCCCACATTCCCACCGCGTTTCCGAGGCAGGACGCTGGGCACGGTGTGCAGTGCCCACAGCCGTGCCCTGTCCAGGGGCACTGACCAGCCTGGCCCGCTGCCAGCACTGAGCACCTGAGCACACTCCTCTCCGACGTCTGAGCCAGTGCCTCCCTCCTTCCCTGCGTCCCACCTCACAGACACTCCGGCCGGAGTGAGTGTTATTCAGGAAAAATAAGCCGGCCTGCCTGGCTGACTCGCAGCACACGCTGAGCTGTGAGCCTCTCCGAGCGGCGAGGCCACCAGCACAACAAACTACACTCACCCCCACCCACCCTGCCCGCGGCCCTACCAGTGCGAGTGCTCCTCCAGGGTCCGCACGGGCTCCGCGACGTTGCGCGTGTCCCAGAACTTGACCTTGCAGTCGTCCCCGCAGGTCGCCAGGTAGTACTGCTTGTTGGGGTTGAAGTCCAGGTCCCGCACCAGCTGCCCATGGGCGTTCTCCATGCAGTAGATCTGCCTGGGGGAGGCGCTCGAGCGTGAGGCGGGGCGGCCTGGCGCCAGACCCGCGGCACCAGCGCCCAGGCCCCGGGCACCCAGCGGGGCTCCGCTCCAGGAGGCCAGGGAGCCGGCGCCCACCGCAGCACCCCCACTGTGGCGACGCGGCTGCGGCCTCTCCAGCAGCCCCCGGGGAAGGGATGCTGGTCTGGCTGTCAGATGTGACAGGTCCCTGGGGAACTAGAGTGGCAGAGGGCCTGCGTCTGCCATGGAGGACACCGGGGACGTGTCTGGGAAGCATGAGGTGAGAAGGACACAAGGACAGGACGGGGGACGCAGAGCACTGCTGGCACCGGGAGAGTCGGGGAAGGGGAGCGAGAGGGAAGAGCTGCCGCAGACGGGAGCAGCGCTGGCTGTGGCCGGGATGCTGTCGCCAGGGCTGGGGTCAGACTCACACCACGCGGGCCGACACCGCAGGACCTTCGCCGGGTCCCTGCAGCCCGCCCGCCCTGCACCCGGCAGCCAAGGGCGGAGACGTGCAAATGTGCACACACCTGGCGCCGCCCTAGGCTGCTCTTCACAGGGTCTGAAACCACCGTCCCATCCAGCCCCGCCTGTGCATCCTTCCTGCCCACACTGCCCGCTCCGCTCTCAGCCGCAGCTGTGACCTGTCCCACCATCAGGCTTATCACCCGTGGCCTCCGGGGGGCGGCGAACACCACGCAGAAGCCAACCACCAGGGCGCCACGTGTCTGTGCTCCAGGGCAGCCCTCGGTCCCTGTCACCTCGTCCTGTCCTCCGGGTGGATCCCCTGCCCTGAGCCACGTTTAAGTCTGGAGCCGTGTTTATATCCTGTGCCTTCCCCGGGTGCCAGTATGTTTTCCTAAAATACCATGTCCTACGCCCGGCCAAGGCTCTTCCCGTGAGAGAGGGGACGTAGGAAATAGGAACGGGGACTGGGGGCCGTCGCGCGTGCGCGGGCATGGCCTGGCTTCTGCACGCGGCGGGGAACCAGGCTCAGGACAAAGCACAGCACAGCGGACAGCAAGCCCGAAGGCGCTGGCGCGACAGAAGCTGGAGCACCTGCACAGAGCGACGCAAGCGGAGCCCTCAGCCACTCAGGGGCCCGCAGAGCCGACCCGCGGAGGCGGGAGCTGCAGGGTGACACCCCCACACCACAGCCGCCAGGTCTGCGTGGGGTCTGCCTGTCACTCCACGAGCCTCCTGCCTCCAGACACTGCAGCTCTGCACCCCTTTCCAGAACGGTGGCCCGAGGAGGAGGCAGCGTGGGGCCTGGGGTGGGGTCGGGGCACCGGCCCTGTGGACAGAGGGCACAGGCCGCAGCGGCAGCCGCCTCCTTGCCGGGTCTGCAGGGGCCTCGGGACTCAGCTGAAAGCCGTGCCCCGGAAGGCAAGCCCAGGCACTCGCTGACACCGTCCTCACAGCTCAGTGATAAACGACGTGTGCTGAGGGGACAGGCTGCATCTCACAGAGGCTGGCAGGGCTCCGTTGCCATGACAACAGACAAGGCTCCATTGCTCGCTGGCCTATAGACCCCACCTGGAACGGAAACCGCTCCTACCTGCTCCCCCAGCACCGCAGGCTGCTGCACCTCACGAGGGAGACGGCAATCTGTCACCGACAGCACAGAGACGTTGGCAAACCCGCCACCAGGGCCCGACTGTCCCTCGTGTGCCCCACCCCGGGGGACAGGAGCGGACGGTGTCCCAGGAGCCCATCTCCATCTCATCAACAGCCAGGCTGAGGGGCCCCCGCGGAGCCCTGAACAGCCAGCGGAGCCCCCGCGGCCACGGCCATGACACACCAGCTCACGATGGGAGGAGACAAAACGCGACGCAGACAGACAAGCCACGTGCCCCACACCCATCTGCTGCGGGCGGCCTCGTGGGGGAAGGGGCGGCAGGCCGAGGCACCGGGCGTGTCACTGACCTCATGCTGCGCGTGTCCCAGCCTCGGACGGCGGTGTCGTTGGCCGTGGCCACCTGGGTGCAGTTGTGATGCGGGCTCCAGCGTCCCGAGGTGAACCTCAGCTGCCCCTTGCCTTCCAGCGACGCCGAGCTGGCCAGCTGCGAGGGAGGGAGAGAAGGAAGTGCACCCGCAGGACAGAGCGGGCGTCACTGAGACCGTCGGGAGGGCGGCTGGGTTTCCGCCCTGAGAATGTGTGAGCCTTCACTGAGGAAAACTGTAAGCCCAGCACAGCAAAGACAGACAGCGTATTAGTAACCGCCAGGAACAGGCTGCAAGGGTGTGGTGAGAGGTCATCTGCTCCCACGTGAAAGAACAACAGGAAATAAACACCTGGCTGCCCCCGAAGAGCAAGTGGGTCCACAGGGTCCCCTCCAGGCAGAGGACACAGCTGGGCCTCATCACATGTCTGAGCCCCCTGCCCCCCACCCCAAGTCTGTCACACGGAGGTGAATACACCTCAGCAGGTAATGAGCTGCTCCTCAGACACCCACCTCCCGGAAGGGAGGGGCCAGGCTGGAGTCTGGGGAAGGGCTCCTCCTCATCTCACTTCCGCCCGCCCGCCCGCCCGGGATTCTGTGCCCAAACCCATCACACTGGCCACATCCTCTTCCCATCAGGGTTGAGGGCCTGTCCACTCAGAGACTGCTGCAGGCAGGGAGAGCGTGTGGCCGGCGTCTCTGCCCCCTGTCCCCCCGCACACAGCCCTGTCGCTCCATCCTTGGGCACAGGCCTCGCAGAGGAGCACGCTGAGGGGGGCCCAGGGCCGGCCGCAGATCGGACAGAGGCCGAAGGAGGCTGACGCTGTCGCCAGGGCTGTGTGTGTCCTGTGACTCCCGGGTCACAGCCCCTCCTAGTGGTCATCGGGGGCTCATAGCTCAGTGCAGGGCAAGCGTCCAGACGGGAGACAGACAGGCCTGCGACACCCCAAGGAGCTAGGGGCAGTGCAGGGGACCGGACTAGAAACAGGGAGACCCCGTCTCCTCTCTAGGGCAGTGGCAACACGTTTGGACAGGACGTCAGGACGACTCCTTCACTCTGTGACCGCTCAGTGGCTGCCCGCCCAGCAGAGCCGGGCCCCTCCTGTGGGCCTGTCCAAGCTCCCCTCCCAGCTCGCACTCAGCACCCCAGGCAGACGCCCTGGGCACTGCTGAGGGCGGCCCAGCCTCCAGCCACACGCCCAGCACAGCGCCTGGCCAGGCCGGGCCGGCGTCAGCTGCAGGTGACGGGCTCCTGAACCCCAGCCCCCCACCCCGCGGGTATGGTTTCAACTGGGAAACGTCTAAAAGCACTAGTGCCCTTGGCACCCACTCTCCTCCCTCAGAGAGGCGTTCCTGCAGGTGCTGTGGCTCAGTGGTCAGCTTTGACCTATGAACCAGGAGGTCACAGTTCGATTCCCGGTCAGGGCACATGCCCTTCCTCTCTGAAATCAATGAAAATCCTTTTCTAAAAAGGCGTTCCTGCCTCAGGTCCTAGCCGAGCGGGGTTCCTCTGCGGGAGCTCCAGGTGGATGTGCGGCCGGGAGGGCGCCGAGGCTCGCGGCACCTTGTGCCTTGGGCTCTGCCGCTCGCTGCACCCTGCAAGCAGCTATTTATCTCTAGAGCCAGTGAAGGCTGCTGGAGCCCAGAGATGAGCGAGCACAGATCACAATGGGGGGCACCCCTCTGCCTTCGCCGGGCCGGGACCCCGCGGACCCGCCCCCAGGCCTCCCCTGGGCTCTCGCTAATGATTATAAATGGCAGGGAACCTCCCGTCTAATTGCAAAGGGTAATGATGCAGCCAGCCTGAGATGAGACTCGCCACGCAGGGCAAGATCCTCCAACAATAAAAAAATGGAGGAGCTGGGTGTGGAGACGCGGATCGATCAGGGGCTCAGTATTAAACGCCACGGCCCAGGGTCACAAAGTGGGACTGACAGAGTGCTGACGCTGACAAAAGAGGGGCCGGAGGACTAAATCGGTCTCTGCAGAAAATAAGTGACAGGCTAATCGCCCACCACAGAGCGCTCTGCGAGGATGGGCCGGAGCTGTGTGCAGCGGGGCCACGGCCGCGGCAGGACTGGAGCCTGGGTCCTAAAGCGTGCGACTCCGCCACTGGCCTCTGGGCTCCTCCTGCCGGGGGGCTCCTCTCAGGGGCTGCACCCACACCTGCCAGACCAGCAGCGAGCTCGGCACCCACCGCCCTATGCCTTCCACCAGGAGACACCCCCTGCCCGTCCCCCAGCCTACAGGCCCCGGACCTCCCGTCCCCCAGCCTACAGGCCCCGGACCTCCCGTCCCCCAGCCTACAGGCCCCGGACCTCCCGTCCCCCAGCCTACAGGCCCCGGGCCTCCCGTCCCCCAGTTTACAGGCTCCAGACCTCCCTTCTCAAGTCTGCAGGTCCTGAGACACCTCCTGAGACACGGCGAGGCCTGGGGGCCCCACACCCACGTGCACGGGAACAGCCCACGTGTCTGATGACCCAGCTCTGAGCTCTGTGCATGACGGAGCGAGAGGAGGTGAGCTGAAGGGTCTGGGTCTCGTCCAGCGTCATTTCCACACTCGGGGGACTTGGGAAGGGCTGCCTGCACCATGTCGTCAGCACCTGAGAGGTGACCTAGCCCAGCCCTAGGGACAGGCTCCTGAAACAGAGGGGACGCGGGTGGGCATCTCCCTGCCTCACGCGCACAGATGTGACGAAGGGGCAGTTTGTCCATTCTCGGGGTCCATGTCCATCTGTGCTCGGCCCGAGGCCCAACACCGAGCTGCTTTCACCTGACAGAGGCAATCGCTCTAATACTCTGATCAATAACTAAATTCGTTCACTAACCACTTCATCATTAATGTAAAATCCTGAAGACATGAATCGAGAAGTATATCTAAGTTTAGTCAAATCTCTCTCTCTAAAAATCAATAACCTTTAAAAAATCCCGTTAAGAAATTAAAAGCGGGAAACGGCGCTTGTTACCTACCAGGGCCCGGCTGGAGCTCGCCTGCAGGTCCCACAGCAGAAGGTGGTTGTCCGCCAGGGAGATGACTCGCGTCCCGTCGCCCGTGGGCTCCCACACGACGCTGACGGGGAGGAGCACGTGTGAGCACAGAGGACCCCGAACCCAGCCCGCCTCCTGCCTGCGCCAGACAGGCCGCAGCCCAGCCCTTGTGGGCGGGCAGATCGGGAACACGGGCGGCTCAGGGTGGCACCCCAACCTCCGCGCTGGGGGCGGACATGTGTCCTCCCCATCCACCTGCTGTGAGGACGCGGGGCTCTGGGGGATGAGGTGAGAGGAGGTGGTGAGGTGGGGCCCTCGATGGGATGGGTGTCCGAGTAAGGACTGACCCCGAGCAGACAGTCCTGGCCCCACCCTCCCACGGCAGATCCTCCCACAGAGGCCAGCACCCCATACGCAGCCTGCCACCCAGCCCTCAGGGGCCTCACAGGCCCCAGGCCCCGCCCAGGAGAGCAGGCCCCGCCCAGAGCTGGCCCCAGCAGAGGCAAGACACCCCTCTACCCCTGGTGGGGCGGTTATGTCCGCCCCTGAGCAACACCTGACACTCTAGAGCAGTGGTCGGCAAACTGCGGCTCGCGAGCCACACGCGGCTCTTCGGCCCCTTGAGTGTGGCTCTTCCACAAAATACCATGTGCGGGCGCACATACAGTGCGATTGAAACTTCGTGGCCCATGCACAGAGGGCGGTATTTTGTGGAAGAGCCACACTTTGCCGAGCCGTGGTTTGCCGACCACTGCTCTAGGGCACGAGGAGCACACGCCGGCCGGTCTGTTCCAGGTCCCCAGAGCCAGGTGCACACGCACACCGGCCCCGGCACCTCTCGGGCTGGCCTGGGAGCTGCAGTCAATGCCAGGTGCCGTGACAACTCGACCCCCATCCCTCACTGCCCTTGGCCGGGAAGAGGCCGACAGGCACACGTGCATAAGCATCGACTCCACGCCCAGCCACGCTCCTCGGGAAACCGAAGCCCACAGCTACGGGAGCCACCGGAAGCAGCGAGCCGCCCAGCGAGCCTTCCCCAGACACCGGCCAGCGCACCTTCTCCCGGCTCAACCAAGCGGCCACCTCGCCTCGTCCGGTCCCAGGAGTGGAGGGGGTGGCGGGTTTCCTTCAGGAAACTGCTCACTGTGCCTCGCTTTCTCCTCATTCAGCCCTCCTCCTGCCTCCGCGGGGCCAGGGAGAGCTTTCTCTCAGAGAAGCTTATGTTTCTCAGTGAAACTATCAGAGGAAACAAGCAAATGCATTTCAAGTGGCCGTAGAAGTAACGCTTTACATCTAAAAAGGAAAATTATATAATAATTTAAAAAGAAGCAGGAGGAGCCTGAGAACACAGGAGGAGCCTGAGAACCTGCGCTGCTTCAGACATCACGTGGCGCCGAGTCCTGGAGGGGGGTAAGAAACGCCGCCAGTGTCTCCTGGGGCGTCCGTGCCTCTGTCACCTAAGTGTCCGCGGCGACGACTGCGAGACGCCCTGGAGAACGGGGAGGCGAGGGTCCCGCAGCGGCGCAGACGCAGAGGCCCCGGTCACTCGGACTGGACCCTGCGTGTCGCGGGTCAGCCTCGCTGTGATCTGAGACCAGCTGCCCAGGACGAGGCTGAGTGCGGGAGAGGCCACAGTCCCCTCTCCTGCTGGCGTCCCTGTGCTGAGTCTCACACACACACACGCGCACGCCTGCACACGGATACCAGGTAAGGGAGCTGACGCCTTCATGAGGAACTTGCTGTGAGGACCGCGGCGCCAGCTGCACCAAAGCTCCCCACGCTCACTTCCTGCCTGAAGGGGGGCCTCGAGGAGCCACCTCGATGAAGCCAGTGGCCGTCCCGGTGCACAGCCACGAAGAAGGTGATAGGGGTCCTGCCCATCCAGCCCTCTGAACACGGGCAGCAACCTGCAGACCTCCCGTTCCCACAGTGCCAGGAGCACCCACGGAGCCGGGCAGGCGTGGTCGCACCCGGGGAAGCTCCCGGCAGCCGTGGCACAGGCACTTGTAAGGACAGAACTGGGGCTCGCCCTGCTGCGTGGCTGACAGGCGGGCCTGAGATCGGCCACTGGTGACTTGGCTGCTAAAGTCCGACGCCTCCACCTGCACAAGCTGACAGCCCCCTCCCCGATGACCCCATCCCCATCCGATGAAGGCACCAGGGTTTCCAGTCAGCCGCACAGGAGGGAGGGAGACGGAGAGAGGCAGAGGCATCAGCGATGAGAGAGGACCTGGACCGGCTGCCTCCTGCACGCCCCACGCTGGGGATTGAGCCCACACCCTGTCATGTGCCCTGACCGGGAATCGGCCCATGACCTCCTGGTTCCTAGGTCGACCCCCACCCCGAGCCAGGCCGGCCGGGCTTCAGGTTTCCTCTTTTCGGAGGGGGCTCCGCCCAGGGAACGGCGGTGCCTGCAGCTCAGCAGGAGTAAGCACTGACACTGACCACGGGACGAGAAGGGGCCGTTGGCTGGGTGAGGGGTAGACCTGCAGGACCTGCGTCCCCAAGCCTCCCTCTGGTGGCCATGGTCCAGGGCCCGCACGCAGCACCGGGAGGGGCAGATGTGGGTGAGGACAGACACAGCGGCGCTGGCCCCTCCTGGAGCGCGGCTCCTGGCCGAGTCCCGCCATCCTGTCCTCTCCCAGAGCGAGCCTGGCAGCGCCGAGGCTGACACGTCCTCTGAGGGATGCATCCGGCCGGCCCTCAAGTCCACAGTCCACAGGCCTCTCCAGTCAAGGCCGATCCTCAGGCCCAGGGGGCCCGCTGCCTCGCCAGGTCCCTCCTGGGTGGGAGGACACAGCCCAGCGATGCCAGGAATGCGGCACCCACAGGGCGGCTCGCTCAGCAAGCCCAACCTCTCCCTGGTGCTCCTGCAAGCCCAGGAGCTGAAACCACATTTTAAAGCAGATTCTTGATCTAAATGCCAAACAGCAGTCTGGCTTCTCCTCACCTTTCCTCCTTCTCTCCCCGCCCCCCATGTTTTAAAAGCAGGCGGGGAAACACCAAGCAGAGCTGAAAACCCTCACGCCCAGAGCTAGCACACCTCCAAGCTTCCCCACGGCACCTCTGCCGGTGTAGCTGGGCCTGCCGAGGTGGTGGGGAGCCAGCCCCCCGGCCCTTTGGCTCCTGGTGCCCGGAGCAAGCTCCCTCCCCTGAACCCACCCCTCTGCACTGGCCAAGGGCCCGGAGGCATCTGTACACAGCGACCGCCCCAAGTGGCTGCAGCCTGCACCCTGTCTCACTGCCCTGCCCCCCAGTGCTGGTACCTCCCAGAACACGCACACGTGCGCATACACACACACACACACACACACACACACACACACACACGCAGAGAGGCGCACACGTACTGACACAAAGGCCTGCAGGGAACAAGGTGCTGTTTGAAATGTGAACTAACAGCCTGTCATTCACACAGATGCGCTCTGCCCTCGACCATCCAGGCGATTCCTCCTGGGCCGGGGGCCTCCCCCGCCGTCCCCCCCCCCCCCCCACGGCGTCCCCTCGCTCTGTAGGCCCGCCCTGCCCTCAGTCAGGACTGTGCTCAGGCGCACCTGCTAGAACCACCGGACCTGCCACTCTGCTCCCTTCCAGCTTCCAGACCCGCCACTGGCGGGACCGACTGGGCCCAGCTCCAAGTGTCCCTCCTCAGCACTCCCTCTGCAACCATCCTCCCGGGCCCACGGCCCACAGGCCCTCCCACTCCTCCCGGGCCCACGGCCCACAGGCCCTCCCACTCCTCCCGGGCCCACGGCACACAGGCCCTCCCACTCCTCCCGGGCCCACGGCCCACAGGCCCTCCCACTCCTCCCGGGCCCACGGCACACAGGCCCTCCCACTCCTCCCGGGCCCACGGCACACAGGCCCTCCCACTCCTCCCGGGCCCACGGCACACAGGCCCTCTCACTCCTCCCGGGCCCACGGCCCACAGGCCCTCCCACTCCTCCTGGGGCCCACGGGAGGGCGCAGGGCTCCGACGACGCGCACAGTGCACCCAGGTCCAGTCCCAGAATTACAGGCTCCACCTGAAGCGACAGCCGCTCCAGAGGCTGCCGATCGGTCGTAGTGCACGTGCGGCTACGGTCCCTCAGCCTAGGGCCGCGCACAGCCCAGCGTCACCCCTGGCAGCCCCCACGGGTCAGCCCATCAGGTGTGGGCGGCAGGGTTTCTGTAACGTGTCCAACCTGGAAAACAACTGGCACTAAAACAAAAAGAAAGCGAGCAGCATACAGCCAGGCTTCAGGGAGGAGAGGCCGGCGCCCGCAGCTCGCCCCGCAGGCGGACCCCGGGCTGCACGGGGATGGGCCCCGGACCTACCAGGCCACGCTGCCGTGTGCCGCCACGCTGTCCAGGTCACACAGCAGCTCCAGGGCGTGCGCCGTGCTCGACGACTCGTCGGGGGACTCGTGGCTGCCCGGCTCCGACTCCTCCGGCATCCTCCACACCGCGGCGCACGTCAGCACTCTGCTGTCTGCGACTGGGGACAGGGGGTGTCAGAGGCGTGGGCGGCCCGTCCGCAGACCCCCGGTGGCCCAGCGCCCGCAGGGCAGGCGGCACGGCCGAGCAGCAAGCAGAAGGCCCTGCTCCCGCTTAACCGCCTCTTCCCGGCTTGAAAAGCATGTTCTGTTTCAGAACAAATTTAATTTCCTCAAAATCGATGTCCTCCCGTTCTTCCTCAACAGTTCTCCAAACAATAGAGCCAACGGGGCCGGGGGCGGGCATGAAACTGGGGGGCATGAAACTGCGGGGAACCACCCCCACTGGGTGCTGAGGCTCCTGGCCCTGAAGATGCTCCTGGGATCTGCGTGTCCTCAGGCACCTGGGCGGCCGCTCTGTGGTGAGAGACTCAACTTGGGTCAGAAAGACGGCCGCTTGGTTTCTGCTAGAAAGAGTCTCAGTAAGACAAAGGGAGGGGACTTAACATTATATGATAAGAGTTAGTCGTGAACTCCTGAACACAAGTCCTTTCACACCCGCTTCCCTTTTAGCTCTAACGTACACGCGCGCACACACCTCCCCGTTCAGAGGAGAGAGCTGTGGGGTGAGGAAGAACGCTCCCCAGGCGTATTTCCTGTGCAAACATACGAAGGAAATAAAGGGCCTGGCATCCCATTCGAAACGCTCACTTCCTGGCGGCCACAACGGCCCTTCAATCCAAATGCCAACAAATCAGCCAAGAAATAGGGCCGGGAACACGCGAGCAAGCTGCCTGCCTTCCAGGAAGGACCAGCGTCGCCACTGTCGCCGTGATCGTCAGTCAGCAGGTGAATCCGATTCCAGCAGGCCTTCTGACCCCCATCCCAGCGCGCACGTCACAGACCTCGCTGGGTCTGACCTCGATGGAGCCAAGGCTGAGAGAGAAGGAGTCCGAGTGTCACACAGACACTTAACGCCAACACGTCCATTTCAACCACGAAACGCACAATGGCTTCCGTCTACAGAAGAAATTAATCGTTGCTGAAACTTTCCATTAGTCTTTCTATAGAGCCTAGGAGACCGGCAATGGCGCTCCTGAGTACATGAGCATCGCCGCAGAGAGAGCTGGCAACTGCGAGCTGGAGAGGACTGAACCTGAAGCCTTCACCGACAGCGGCCCAGACGGTCCTCGTCCTCCTCAGCGACAGGAAAACGTCTCATCTGAAGCGAGGGGACGAATAGCGTGAGAACCAGGTCGTGGCACCGCACAAAACGAATGGAGTGCGCAGGACAAAAGGTGCGGGGCAGTAAAAACAGCTCTTACTGGGAGGTGGCTGGGCCAGGTTCTCACTGCAGATTCCTTCCGGAGCATTCTGCTCAGGCGTCAGGACATCGTCCTTTCCTATACCTCCCGTTCACCAGGCCCACGTCATAGTGGGGGTGAGACATTATCACCTTCCCCTCGAGAAGTAATGCTGCATATTCCCACGCCCAGTTAGCACTGCCCTAGAGCTACATATGAACACGCCCAGTTAGCACTGCCCTAGAGCTACATATGAACACGCCCAGTTAGCACTACCCTAGAGCTACATATGAACACGCCCAGTTAGCACTACCCTAGAGCTACATATGAACACGCCCAGTTAGCACTGCCCTAGAGCTACATATGAACACGCCCAGTTAGCACTGCCCTAGAGCTACATATGAACACGCCCAGTTAGCACTGCCCTAGAGCTACATATGAACATGCCCAGTTAGCACTGCCCTAGAGCTACATATAACACGCCCAGTTAGCACTGCCCTAGAGCTACATATGAACACGCCCAGTTGGCACTCCCCTAGAGCTACATATGAACACGCCCAGTTGGCACTCCCCTAGAGCTACATATGAACACGCCCAGTCAGCACTGGACCAGAGCTGCATTTACCACGCCCAGTTGGCACTGGACCAGAGGTCCTGACTGCTTCAATCCGGCAGGATGATATGTGTAGGAAATTAGAGACCTTCTACACTACAGCATGAGAAATATGTTGGAAACTTCAGCAAATTGCTGAACACAATGGTGCTATGTAAAAATTAATTGGCCATCTATAGATTAGCAAAAATTTAGAACACAAAATTTGAATAAGTACTAACAATCACATTAAAAATCAAACATCCAATAATGTCTGAAGCCAGAGGCGTGAGGCCCGCGCGTGGCCAGCGAGGAACGTGTGGTGAGAAAGCGGCCTGCAGAGGCGGGCGGACAGCTCGGCCGGAAGCTGCTCCCGGGCAGAGTCCCGGCCGCCCTCGAGCTCCAGCATCTTCTGAGAATCCAGCGACCTGCTTCCGGAATTCTAGTTTCCATGGGGACGTGACCGCCAGACGGGCAAGACCGTCACGAAGGAGGCCGGAGTGGGTGGCTCCCACTCTAGCACCAGTCGGCATGACAGGAGGGCGAGAGCCACAGGCCTCAGGGCGACGGCCACCTGGCTTCCCACGGAGCCCTGCGCTGGAGCGGCGGCCGGAGGGCTGCACGTCCGCAGGAAATGAGCTCGCCCCTGCCTCACAGCACACTCCTAGGCCAGCTCCAGGCACACTGAAGACCAGACAGGAAAGAAAATAGGCCAGGCTTTTCGAGAACGCATGGCGGAAGGTCCCCTCAGCCTTGGCGTCAGCACAGACTTCGCCAACAGGAAGGAAAGGCACCAATCACAGCGGAGAGACTGACGACGCGGCCACGCTCATGCAGAGCCTCGGTCACCAGGGCACCGGACCTCATCAAAACTAGAACCTGTTCTCTCGGAAACACTGTTAAAAACGAAGCAAAGCTGGGAGAACATATGCGTGATACTTATGCCTGACAAAGGGCTTGCATCCAGAATATATTTTTTTAAAAAAACCTCTTATAATTTAAGACAAATGAGCCAATTTTTAAAAATGGGCAGAAGACTGCCCGGCCGGTGTTGTTCAATGGTTGAGCATCGACCTATGAACCAGGAGGTCACGGCTCGATTCCTGGTCAGGACGCGTGCCTGGGCTGTGGGCTCGATCCCCAGCAGGGGACGTGCAGGAGGCAGCCGACCCATCATTCTCATCACTGATGTTTCTCTCCCTTCCTCTCTGAAGTCACTAAAGAGATTCTAACGGGCAGGAGTCTGAGTCCGACGCTCCTCAAAGGAAAACACAGGGATGGCCAGCGAGCAGCGGGAAAGATGCTCAACAGCCACAGGGACTGGAGAAACGCCAAGTAACACAGCGAGCCACCCCCCTGCGGGGCTGGGTCTCCTGGAAAAAGACCGGCCACGCCGAGTTCTGGCAGCCACGCAGAGCAGCGGCCCTCCTGGCTCCGGGCGCGTGTGCCCGCACAGGCGCGGCGGCACCCACTGACCAGACGCCCATCGCTCTCAGGAGAGCAGGCGTGGCCTGGCGACGGTAAGCAGCTGCCAGAGTCGGGGCGGCAATGATCACAGCGACCAACCAGGCCAGGTGCCAGCCAGGGAGGCTGACTGGCCGAGGACGGCGGAGCCGGTACCCCGGGTGCAGGCAGAGGGCCCGGCACAGAGCGCCGCTGGCCTAACATGCATGACAAACGCACAGACAATCGCAGAGGGAAACTAGCGCGTGAGGGCGCAGGAGGCTGAGGGGAGCGCCCTGGGAGGTGGGGTGCTTCCTGTCGGAGCCAGCCAATGGCGGCACGGCAGACACGCCCCAGGCCAGGAGGCCCTCCACGGGCAGCCGAGGCCTGGCCCTGCTGCACTGGGTCGGCGGCTCTCCCTGCCCCCTGCCCCCTGCCTCCATCCTTCCACCCATTACAGGCCCCACCTGCCAGCCAGCCAGCCGCACCCCTGGCTCAGCGTGGCTCCCAGGAGGCGACCCGGCAAGTGTGCCACCTGCACTGCGCCTGGCACCTCACATTTTACTTACATTCTCCCCAAAAATCTCTTTTACTTTCAATAAATCCCCTCAGTCTCAAAACTCAGAAACCAGGCGCTTGGAAAGCGGCTCTCGTGTCCTCCCTGCTGCCGCCTGCCTGGGTCTGTGCCCTCGACGGCACGGCAGCCCGTCCCACCGGAGGCGGATGCCTGCTCCTGCTCTTGGCTCTGCCTTGGGCCATGGCACTTGCTTTGCCAACGGGGTGTTAGCAGCTGTGAAACAGGCAGAGACTTGACTCGCCCTTGCCCAGTCGAGCAGACTAGTGCTGTTGCCATGGGAGCAGGGATGGAGAACCACTGTTCCTGGGAGGATGGACCCAGCTGGCGGCTGGCACTGAGCCAGACACGCCCACAGCTGGCCAGCCAACCCCCAGCCAAAGAGGAGACAGAGCGGACAGAAGAAAGGCTCTAGGACAGCGGTTCTCAACCTGTGGGTCACGAACCCTTTGTCGGTCGAACGACCCTTCCACAGGGGTCGCCTAAGACCATCCTGCATATCAGATATTTACGTTACAATTCATAACAGTAGCAACATGACAGTTATGAAGTAGCAACAAAAATAATGTTATGGTTGGGTCACAACATGAGGAACTGTATTTAAAGGGCCGGAAGGTTGGGAACCGCTGCTCTAGGAGCTCCGAGCACTGTGGCGTTTGTTAGGCAGCAGTACGCTGACTTATAGCATCATGTGGCCACTAACAAAAGCCATACGTGTGTGCAGGCTACTAACCATCATGTGGCCACTAGCTAAAGCCATACATGTGTGCAGGCTACTAACCATCATGTGGCCACTAGCTAAAGTCATACGTGTGTGCAGGCTACTAACCATCATGTAGCCACTAGCTAAAGCCATACATGTGTGCAGGCTACTAACCATCATGTGGCCACTAGCTAAAGTCATACATGTGTGCAGGCAACTAACCATCATGTGGCCACTAGCTAAAGTCATACATGTGTGTTACTATCATGTAGCCACTAGCTAAAGTCATACATGTGTGCAGGCTACTAACCATCATGTGGCCACTAGCTAAAGTCATACGTGTGTGCAGGCTACTAACCATCATGTGGCCACTAGCTAAAGTCATACATGTGTGCAGGCAACTAACCATCATGTGGCCACTAGCTAAAGTCATACATGTGTGCAGG